TATTTAATTAACACCCTGTATATAGACGATCTACTCATCTTTTCAAGTAACGTGGACATGAAGAATGAAGTAAAGAAACAACTTATGAAGAGCTTCGAAATGAAGGATTTAGGAGCAGTAAAACGCTGTTTGGGGATGAACATCATTCGAGACAGGAAAAAGGGGATGCTGTGGATCGACCAAGAAGATTATGTACTGAAGATACTGAAAAGATTCAAGATGCAAGACTGTAAGCCAGTCTCTACGCCGTTAGATCCCAACACGAAGTTAGATCGACTACCAACGCCTAAATTAACGAAAGATTTAGAAGAAATGAGCAACATCCCATACCAAGAAGCCGTTGGCAGCCTGATATATTTATCGGTAATATCAAGGCCTGATATTTCTTACGCAGCAAATTCCGTAAGTGGATACAACAAAAATTATAGCATGGCACATTGGTCCGCTGTTAAAAGAATATTCAGGTACTTGAACGGAACTAAAGATATGAAACTACAATTTTGTCGAGATGGAAATAAAACTATTGAAGCTTTCAGCGACGCTGATTGGGCGAATGACTCATCCGACAGAAGATCGATTTCAGGAAGCTGCTTCAAACTTCAAGGAGGACTAATATCCTGGTCCAGCAAAAAGCAGACTACTGTTGCTACCGCAACATTCGACGCAGAATTCATGTCTATTGCTTCCTTCTGCAAAGAAGCTATATGGTTGAAGCAATTGGTCGAAGAAATCAACAAGGATATTGTACGAGATCCAATTGCCATCGCGTGCGATAATCAAAGTGCAATATTGTTTGCGAAGGACTTTAATCTTACTCAACGTTCAAAACACATAGACGTACGGTTACATTTTGTTAAGGATTATATTAAGAAAGGGTATACATATATCTGTTACGTATGTAGGTAGCACTATACACTACAAAACATTCTTATTGTACTAAAGAAATGGGTTTAATGTCGAAAGATGTATAAATTACAATGTTGTACGTTTATGGGGGGCTGTTAGGATATGTAAACGCACCACAATGGTTCTGTTAGTCCCTAGATTCGCATTACGTTTAAGTTGGCAACTAGCCCTGTATTTTTGTCTTTATGTTCCCCCCGCTTCCTTTTTCTCTCTGTTCCCGCGCTTGTGTGTGCATAGCCCAGCCAAATAAAGCTACGTCTTTCTAAGAGTATCATTCTTGTACAATTGCCTATAAATCACCTAAATCATCACTTTATTATAAAGAAAGACATTTTTCTCTATTTTTTATTTTCCTCTATTTTTCTTTGAAGTATTTTCTTTTAAGTATGTGTTATTTAAATGTCTAATTGTTATAAGATAATACCACAGTATAACCAGTAGGGGCACTCTCTGACGGCACCTTTGATCTGGACGTTCTCACTTTTCCGCCATGTTTTCCTAAGCGCCAACAGTGTATCAACTGCTAAAAGTGCCTGAATCCTTTTCAGGATCATATCCAGGAAAGGCGCATACGAACTGGCATACATTATTTATTTAAATGGAAATGGCCCACGAAAAAAATTGTTTTAATAAAAGTAATTAATGTAATTACTTGCTCCAACGTATAAAAGTATTTATGCGGTATTCGTCAACACTGCGAATTTTTCAATGTCACACCAACTTTGCACTAACACACGTACACAAATCCTGTGATTGGTCATTATAGAAACATGTCGGATGCGCAGTACGGATCGGCGCGAACGTGAAACAAAAGAACGAGTGCCCCTACTGGTTATACT